TGAATGCAGCTGGTACAAAATACTTTCCTATGTAATTATTCTTTTGTCTATCGCCAGGAATTGAGCTTCCAGATTCAGGATTGAATCCAATTGCCCAACCTGCATTTTCAGGGAGATTGTTACCTCATCAAGCACAGCTGCCTCTGTCTTGTTTGGATGTTTTTTGCCATTAGGTCCACTTTAACTTATGCCAGCCTTATGAATGAGATGACTAAAAGCTTTGTTCATCCACATGCAGTCCATTAGGGATGACCACCACATATTTAAAACCAAAACAGCTTCCTTGGACTGAGGTGGAAAGGAGTAACATAACTAGGAGTCATGTGCATACTTATGGTACCAGCCCTCAAACTCCTCACAGGTCTTCTCAGTGGTATCATGTTTATGTTAAATATCCATAGCACTGAAAAGGCACAAATACAGAGTGAAAGGAAGAAATGTGCCAAGAGGAAGCAAATCCTTGTCATGACTGCCTTCCACCTGGAAATGTATGTCCTCAATATGAAAGGCCAATGTGCATCTAGAATAAATCTCCACAGGCCTTTACAGCTCCAACCCCTGGTAGGCAATCATACTCTAACATGAATGATTGCCTGTGATGTGCAACAGCACAAGAGAGAGAAAAAAAGATCTGAGGAATCCTACAGGCTAACGGTTCAGGAATCAAATAGAAATCTCCCAGCATCCCCTTCTGGTTTTATGTCTCCTGGAAGGAAATAAGCAACTTTTAACTAGTTTATGACAACTGAAACATAAATTGTTCCTCCACTCCAGGTCATCAGAAACTCACTCAGCACAGAAAACAGTGTGTGCCCAACAGCATTAGAAGTGTGAGATACAACTTGGAACAGATTCATAATTGTCATGGCAAGCATGACATCCTGATTCATTCCTAAAAGTATAGTATCAACATGAATGTTGAAATTCCCCAGTATTTCAAGCTATGAGGACCACAACAGCAGCCCTGAGACCACCCCATGAGCTGAGAAGTGCAGTGGGCAGGATACTACTCATCTTTTCTTGGCCACTCAGCTTTGGTACACAGATTTTGTCTCTCACCTCACCATGAGACAAAAACAGTAGAGCTAGATTGTGTGCATGAATGGCAAATTAGAAAGTTATGGAACACATGAAATCTTTGGTCACTGACCTAGCTAAGACAGCTACATCTATTACTTTCATTATGCAGTTTTTACTGATACAGTCCTAGCATGCTACATATTACTAAAGCTCTTAAAATGCCTAGATATAATAACGCATTTAAGCATGCAGTAATATAAGTTACCAAGGCATGAAAACTATTGGCTACAATTTCTCTTCCAGCAGACAAAGCAGCAGATATACCAGCTGGAGAAGTGTACTCCAATTCACAGTTGCAAACAGCAATCAAGAGCAATTCAAAGTCCAAGTAATATTTTCAAATATTCCTTAAGAGGTAGCATGATCCCACCCACCATTGAAACATTCTAAACTGAATTAACATTATCTAAACAGATTAAAATTTCATCCCCATTTTTCAGATAACTATATCTAATGTTTTCAGAAAATATTAAAGGGCATGGAATACAAATGCCAGAGTTTGAAGAAGCCAGACTAAGTTTTGATGATGATGATGATGATGATATTATTATTATTATTATTATTATTATTATTATATTTATATCCCAATTTTTCTCTCCATATGAGACTTAAAGTAGCTTACAATTAAAAGCATTAAAATAAAACTTAATATATGCAAAAATACAAATATTAAAACAGTAATAAACATTAATTTTAAAAAAATGATTCACATTAAAACCTTAAAAGCATATAAAACCACGATATCCCCTGACTAGATCTTAAACACCTTCATCTTTAAATGACTGTCTGTATAAAAAGGTTTTAGCCTGCCAATGAAGGACAGCAGGGAAGGGGCCATTATTGGTTCCCTCTGCAGGGAGTTCCAGAGTCGAGGGGCAGCCACTGAGAGAGAAGACCCACTCTCTCATTCCCATCAATTGAGCTTGAGATGGAGGTGGGACCGAGAGAAGGAGCTCTCCTGAAGATCTCCGGGCCTGTGACCCCATCCAGCACAGCTGAATTCCTATTCCCTGGTCTGCCTTCCAACTGACCAGGAGTACCTCTGTCTTGTCTGGATTAAGTTTCCATTTGTTTGCCCTCATCCAGTCCATTACTGATGACAGACACTGCTTTAGGGTCAGGACACCTTCCTTGGCTTTAGGTGGAAAGGAGTAGGAGAGTTGGGTGTAATCTACATATAGGTGGCACTGTACTCCAAAACTCTGGATCGCCTTTCCCTGTGGTTTCATGTATATATTAAACACCATAGAGGACAAAATGGAACCCTGATGAACCCCACAGGACAATAGCCAGGGGGTTAAACAGAAGTCTCCCAGCACCACCTTCTGAGTACAGCCTTCCAGGAACCACCAGAGCCACTGTAAAACAGCAAGATGACCCAGAAGGAAACAAAGTTATCATTAGGCTATTGTACTGTCTTGATTGTTTTAACTAGTTATAAATGTTGACGCTATATTGTAATTTTGTATATTGTATTTTGTGAATTGTTGGGCATCGAATTGTGCCTTTTGTAAGCCGCCCTGAGTCCCCCCTAGGGGGTTGAGAAGGGCGGGGTAGAAGTACCCCAAATAAATTAATAAATAAAATAGGCACAAATTCAAATAACTCATGTCTTGTTTAAACTATGCATTCCTGAAACAAACCAATAAGGTCTTGGAGCATGCAATGGCCTCCCAACTCCAGGGAATTCTGGATGATATGGATTATCTAGGTCCATCTCAATGTAGTTTCAGGCCTGGCTATGGAACAGAGACAGCTCTGGTTGCCTTGGTGGATGACCTAAGTAGAGAGCTAGATAGTGGGGATGTGTCCCTGTTGGTTCTCCTGGATCTCTCATCAGCTTTTGATACCATTGGTATTTGTGTCTTTATGTACATGGTGACTTATAATGGCCCCATAAGGGGTTCCATAGACAAGGAATACTGATAGGTGGTTTTGTCAGTTACTTCTTCTAAGATATAGCCTCCTCTCCAAGTATTAACTAGGGCTGATCCTGCTTAGCTTCCAAGATAAAACAAAATGTGCTGCCTTTAAAATATTTAGGACATATTTAGGACCATCTGTCAAGAGTGCTTTGAATGCAATATTCCTGCTTCTTGGCAAGGGGTTGGACTGGATGGCCCATGAGGTCTCTTCCAACTCTATGATTCTATGATTCTATATAATAATTATAATAACTATAGTTATCTAAAAAGTACAACCATTTGATCTTTTTACAATAGCTATGCTCAAAGTACAGAAAGAAGACTACGTTCAGGGTCCACCTAACATTCCTACAATGATAAACAATGATAAACTGAAGACTAACAAATGGTCAGTCTTCAGAATTCCCCCCTCCCTCACTGTCACTAAACAACACTAATTATTTTATCTGAAAATACAAGGTCAGTAGGAGATATTGTCACTGATGGATGTTATTATTTAAAACCTCTATGTATTATTGTAAAAACTAGACAGTGAAGAAAAATGATAGAAAAAAATCAGAAGTTCTATGGATATCATCAACTACTAGAAAAATAAACAGAATGAATCTTAGGACAAATCAAGTCTCCAACATTCAGGGACAGGAAGCACTGACTATCACATTTGTCAAAAGAACTGTACACAATCATCCTGAGGTGTAAACTGCACCTCCACCTCTAAACATGCACACAGGTTGAAATAGGTTACTAGACTTGGATAGTATGTCCTCTTCCACCTAACCTCACACTTGTGTACTATTCAGAGCTATAGTCTACCTGGGTCTCAGGGCTAGCAAAACATTATGTGTTAGGCAGATAATTGCTTAGAAGAGGTAATTAATAATAGTATTGTTCCAAAGTTTGATTACAGAAAATAGTTCACAGATCCTATTTAAAGGATTTCACATTCTTCCTAAACCAAGAAAACAATGAAGAATAGAAAGTTCTGAGAACGTTAAGATAAGAAAATTCATAAAAGCTGGATGTTATTTGCCATTAGGTCTGCTTTAACTTATACCAACTTTGCCTTCCACTTTGCTGAACATTTTTGTCTTTTCTAGTGGAGTGTGTTGTCTCATGATATGTCAAAAGTAAGATAGTGTCCATTTAGCCATCTTGGCTTCCAGTGAGAGCCCTATTTGTTTGTCTTTTTAGCAAACCATAGTAGCTGCAGAACTACCAAAGAAAAGTAATATTAAAATTGGTCAGTGAATCAGCTATGATAAAATAAACACCTGAAAGAATTAAAAGTGGCATTACAAAATATTCCAGTACTAGCCAAAATCATGCTGAAAATTACTATATTTAGGTCATAAACTGAGTGCTAATTTTGTATCAAAAACACAAAATCTATATGATTTTCTTATGCATTACCTTAATGCCAGAAGAATATTTTACACATTATTTTAAATGTTAATGCTCTTCCAACTCCAACTTCTTTAATCTTACTACTAAAAGATCAAATTCAGCACTGCAGTCACAATAAGTGCTACCGGAAGAATTGTACTGGCATGCAGAGCTTTCACATTTTCACTGGTGTAATAAAATGCTACAATCTGAATAGTACATGGTACTTTTATGAGGGTGAATAAGTCATGCAATTGACTTTAAATATGCTCTTTTCAAAAGATGCCTTCGTTCTCTATGAATTTGAAAAGCCTATTTTGGCAAAAGCCATTTACTTCCCGCAGAAATGTCTAAACCATTTAATTTTTAGATGGCATTAAAGTGCTTTTTTCTGAAGGAACTATGAAAAAATATGGATAAGCCATCTATCATATTTCAGTATATGAGAAAATTAAAATGTGTTATGACCAATACTAAACTTTTTATGAAATAGTCCTTGGATATCAACAATACTACTCAACAGGGGGGAAAAACTTTACACGAAGCCTCTTCCATGAAAAGAAAACAGAATTGCAAGAATACTAGTTAACATTTTTGATAATTCTTTCTTACCTTTGTCGCAGTCTTTCCACACAATTTTCCGCATTTTCTCAAAATGTCTATTCATCCAAGAAAGAAGAATTCTTTCAGATGAAGAATATATATTACTAGATAAGGGATCAGCACTTATTTTTGGTACATGTTCTATGTCTTCTGAATTTTTCTGACTATTGTTCTCAAGAAAAGACACACGCTGGAGAACCAAAATCTGAAATAGACATTGTTTCTTCTATAAAATGAGCATTTAAAAGTCTAACTGAATTCAATTATAACTGCTCACTAGCTCCCTTAGCTAGAATGAGACATCAAATTAATTGCTAGCTCTTCTAAAATGAAGATTTAAAAGTCTCCCTCCAATTTCTAATCTGTGATTAGTAAGGGGCATATGCCTTTCCATTAGTACTAGAAAGAGAACTAAGAACTGGAGGTGGAATGTGTTTTCTAACAATCATATATTGTACCTTCTCTCCTTGAGGGCTTTTGTCATTTGAAACATTCTAATCTAAATGTTAGAAAAAGTATGGTTTATTGGCCCAAGGCTATTTTTATGAACCTGAAAGGATCCCCACACCCACCTGCAATATTATGCATTTAAAATATCCCAAAATGAACAATAATGTTCTGGACAATTATTTTATTGCATTGATAGTTCTTTTTTGCAACTCTTCCCTTTTATTAGAACCAGATAGGTGTTTTTTCCAAAACAGGAAATGGCCACCCACGGTTTCTCCTTGAAATACAATTCTCCATTGTGCCTAGAAACAGTGCAGAAAAATGGCCAAGAGTGTCCTCTGACACTAATCAATTCCAACCCCCATATTGGGATAGGATTGACAATATGTGAAGTAGCCCTTCAGAGCCCATGGAATAAAAGCACCTCACTAGCACTTACTGGCCTGTTCCAGTTTCGCCAAAACCATAACCTTCTGCATTCTATTCAAAAATAAGATCCACTGTTTTCAATGAAGAATGCTTTCAAGATAGCTATAGGTTTGCAGTTGACTGCTTTCATACTAAACTCAGTGGGAAGCACCTGGAGATAACATGCACTAGGTTTTATTGCTAAATAATTATAGTCTATAACTTGTACTTACATCCCATAAAATCTGCAAAATATCAAAGACTGTGAGATTCAGCAGGTTGCTTAATTTTGTTCTATTCTGTGGTATACCACTTGTTTAAGTGTTATACCACAGTGGTCTTGATGGACTTCCTGAACAACCTTTCCTCATGGAAAATGTTTGAGGATACATTTTTTCTCTATTGCCAACATCTGGAGATAATTGATGTGGAGAGTGCTCTCATCAGATGTCCAACAGCATCTCATAGAGAGGCCATCCATGCGTTTTCCCCATATTTCCACAGATGCATCTTTGTTTTTACCAATGCTGTGGGTTGTGGTGGAAGGAATAGCCAACTGAAGATACTTTACAGCCTCATACTTTAGAACCAGAGATCTTTGCCTGCTCAGTACAGAACTCTGCACTATTTATGTATAGTGCAAACAACAATGCTGACCCAATTGATAATGGAATGAATCACATTGGTACTCATATTTCTCATAGGCAAACTCTACACTAATAGTGTAATAACTTCCTGTAATAAGACCTATACTGGTTATAATCACTATGGCTATAGCACCAAAACCAATATTTATCCCAATGACAAACAGGCTTGTAATAATACTTATGACAAGGCAGTGATCACTATCTGTAAGTATCATACTGTTTAGAGCCAGAGGATTGTCAATGTTGAGCAGATCAGTGTAGAGGAAGCTCATTCTCAAAAGGAGGCACTGCAGGAAACTGGGTCTCACAATCTAATGGAACCAAGACTGGAACTGATGGGAGGCTGAACAGAAGAAAATGGTGACTTGGACTGAAGATGCTACACATCCTTTGCCTACTTCTTTTTCACGTCACCTTTTTTCTGCTCTATGCATGGTGTTGTAGACAAAAGCCCCCAGACTAGGAGACTGAACTAATGTTGAGTGAGTCTTGAACAGAATGGCAAAGTCAGAAGCAGGACACTTAGAATAATCTTTGGGTCTCTCTGAACTATCTCTAGACTCCTGGAGACCATTTTGCTGTCAGACAGACATACGTAAAGCTTTTATTCTGCTAGTGTATAAAAACTTCTAATCCAGACTTGAGGCTTTTCTTTATGGCCAAGTCCTACCTGCCATGGACAAGGCCACTGATACAACCCTCACTGACCCAGTAAACCAGCCCATTTGTGCGAGCCACAGAGTCCACAAAGAAGAACTTTTGTGGACACTTAGTAAAGCTTCTTCCTGGTGTAGAAGTCAATCCCAGCTAACTTTTGTCTCCTGAGAAATTGTAGAGTTGCTCCAACATCCTGAAAGACCCCAATTTATCCAAACTATCCTCAGTTAATCATGCTAAGTTATAAGTAGTTCTACCAGACTGCAATCATCTTGTCTCCTGACAGAATAGAGGCATGCCATTGAAGGAAAGAGGTTCCCTAGCTAAAATTATTTCAGTTATCTATTCTGCTTAGCACCTTTCATACAACAATTGGAAATATGTAGAGAGCAAATGTGGTAACATTAGCCAAGTCACTGGTGATTCCAGACAGCGTCAAAATCAGCATCTTAAAAGTGGGTTTAAAAATCCGCAGGTCCACACACAGACCTGTCAAGTTCTGGGATATGTCCCTGGCCATCCTCAGAATCTTCTTTTGAAGCAGATCAAGATGGAGGGAAGGGGTGAAGGATTGTCAATGTTGAGCAGATCAATGTAGAGGAAGGTCATTCTCAAAAGGAGGCATTGCAGGAGACGGGAGACATTCAGCAGAACTTTATTTTTTTAATCTATTATGCACTGGACCATATATATGCAAATGAAAATATCTTGATATAAATATAAGCAGATTCATATGTGCACATATAAAATCCAATACATTAGAGAGAATTGTTTAAAAAAAACTTCCGTCGGATCTCTCTCTTCCCCCAATTGTTAATTCAACATCTGTTTAAGATTATAAAGTGTAAAATAAAGAATTTCAGAGAGTTCTAATTGTTCTCCGTTTGTGCTTCAATTGAACCACCTGTGTATCCATCTGACAGCCCAATCAGCTGATCAGCTATTTCAGGCTTTTTAAACGCTCACATGCGCTGGAGCAGTCTACACATGGGGGAGGGAAGGAAAGTACATGTTTTGCACAATTGCAGGAATATACAGTCATGCAAAGGTGCATATTTTTCAGGCAGAATCAGGTTATAAGATCACATTTTTAACATGTGCTTTTTACCTCTTAACCTGATTCCTCCCTCACTGTGGCTTAGCCACCCTTTTAACCTTGCTACTTCTGGGTTTTACAGAGTGTGTAGAAGGAGTCACTGTTTCACAATATGTCAGAAGATGAACTTGCCTTCAAAATCCAGTTTGGTAGAAACAAACCAACCAGGATCTAAAACAACAATCTGAAGCCAATTCTCTAACCATCACCTCTGGATTTCACAGGATTGTAGTAATTACTTTCCCTCAAAAGACAGATTCATGAAAGTGAACTATACATATATGAACTTATGAAACTGAGTGCTGAGCACATGAGAAACAAAAGAAGGCAAGCAATTCTGAATCACTTTTGACAGTCGAAACTACAATGCTAGTTCATTACTATGTTTAGCACACACCACGATTTCACCTTATTTCAATTCCAGCAAAAGAAAGCAAATAAAGCAAAGACATATTCATCTTACCTTATATACCTGAAGCAACACATCTGTCCATGCTCGCTTGCTAACAGCCTCAAATACAGAGTCATCCAAAACATACACATACTTGTCATCAGGATCATGCTTCTCGGCCTTAGACCAAGTGGAAAAAACTGAGATTTTAATTTTAATTCCACAACAATTTTCAATGTGGTAAATCTCTAATTGCTAATGTAGTAAAACTAAATGCCAAATATGTTGATCCATAAAAACCCATAAACAAGCCTTTATACAGGAATATATATGCAAGTTCAATATCTCTCATCTGAAATGCTTGGGACTAGAAATGTTGTGGATTTTGGAATGTATTTGCATACACATAATGAGAGATCTTGGAGATAGGACCCAAGTCTAAACATGAAATTAAGTTATGTTTCATATACAACTTACACACATAACCTGATAGTTTAAAAATATTTTTTTGAGCATGAATAAAAGTTTGTGTACACTGAACCATCACAAAGAAAGGTTTCACTGTTTCAACCACCATGTGAACAGTTTTGGATTTTTGAGCATTCTGGATTTCTGCATTCCAGATAAAGGATGCCCAACCTATATTACTGCTGTAATTATATCCATGTGTGCTTCAAAACCAAATCTTGGCAATATATGTCATTTTTCCCTAAGAGTATTGTGCATGTGACATATATATCTCAACAGATTTTTCTTGTAAAGTAGTAAAACAGAGGAATGGATATGATAGGAGAAATTTAGACATCTTTGCATTCACTTAATGGGGATTTGCATTTTTTTTCCTTATTTGATACATACATTTATAACACATATTTAGCATTTTGCCATTGTTTTCCTGGTAGTCAGAGTCTTTTCTGCTTTAGTTGCACGTGGCTGTATTTATAATACCGTACCTAAAAGCAGGCAACATTAATCAGGATCTGCTGCTAATGTTGAACTTTCCACCTCACCTTAGATATAGTTCTGGATCCCTACATAATTTGTAAATAGATAAATTACCTTCACCGTAAACTGTAAGACTGTCCATTTCTTATAATCCTCAAAGTCTAGAAGAAATTCTGGCAAAATGTGAGAAAGAGATGCTCCTTGCCCTCTAAAATTAAAAATAAAGAAAAAATTAAATATATATTTTCTCTTTCCTGAGGTGCTGTATCCGTTATCAACTTTTTCAAAATTCTGCAATTTAAATAGATACACAATCTTCAAATGAAACACTGTAACAGTGGCACTCAAAAATTTACCTAAATTCACTAAGGCAGTTATATATATGCAACCTAGATGGGTATATTTACAATCCTCACTTACTGGATAGCAGTTACTGTAAGTACAAAGAGTCTGTTCCTTTGTGGAATGAGTAGCAGCTGACTGATATTTTGACTCATCCCTCCCGTAAGTGATCTCAGGAAGAATTGTTACAGGGACCCCACTTAGTCTGTCATCCTAAAGATCACTCATAAGAACAGGTGGGGACTTGAGTCAGCTGATTCCTAATTGATTGAGAAACAGACTCCTCTTGCTCACAGCTCCTGCTACCTGGCGAGGGCAGATTAGGGTAGTAGGGTCAAGAGACATCATTTAGCTATATGGTTGCATGTTAGTAACTTTCTTATTGGATTCTAGTATCTGCCTTTTTTGAAAGAATCCTATGGTTTACTCATATGCAGTTTACTCATATGCAGGTTTACTCATATGCAGAATCCTATGGTTTACTCATAAGAGCAGAGAGGTTATCAATAGGTTCACAATAGAACTCTTGGCCCTGAAAATTTTGGTTGTCTTCTCTTTCATTCAAAGGACATTATCATCCAGATACTCCATGGATCCAAGCTTTATGAAATAGCGAGAAGAAATTCATTGCTGAAAGAAACCCATGTGAAAGCCTATTTGAGTTTGCAAAGGGGCATGCATGAGACAAAGGAAACAAATGGACAAAGCTTCTCTGAGACCAAAAATGATGCAAAGAACCTTTGACCCAGATAGAACATCATCTTCCATCAGGACAATGATATATATATATACATATATATATATATATATATATATATATATATATATTGAGACAATGGGAGTGTTTTGGGTAGATCTTTTGTCAGGAAAGAGAGAGCAATTCGCATGAGAATCGGCCAGGGATGGATGCTGAAAGGAATGTGGAGGAGACAGGAGGTTTATAGATAACCCAGCGGTTAAAGGGCTAGTGTGAAACAGAGACAAATCTGGTGTTCCCAGAGACTGAAAGATAAACAAAGGGAACACAGGTGTGAGAAAGAGTGATGTCATGGGCAAGAGAGAGTATTCTTAAGAAACTGAAGTCAATGCTCAGTGAGGAGATCAACTTGGATTTTCATGTGTTGACTGTCTCTGGAGCTCCAAGTTAGGAGTTCTGTTCTTGGGTCTGGATCTAGTTTTCCTGTTTATGTTCCATACCTTCTGTTTGGATTACAAATCTTGTTTCAAATTTCAAGCCTTTGGCATTATAGTCAAGTTCAAGTGTCAAGCCACTGGGATTATGACCACGTAATGCTTTCAAACTTTTGGATAAAATTCTAGTTTAAGTGCAACAATAGACTTTGTATTTCTAGGTGCAAAGATTACTGCAGATGCAGACTGCAGCCAGGAAATCAGAAGACGCTTCAATGGATATCTTCCAATATTGTGCTCCATGTTTCACCTCCAAAGACATACTGGCCTCACAACTGTGGATTCACCCAGTTGTGAAATTCCATCATCATGTAAATGAACCAGAGTCTTTCTTAACCAGAGTCTTTGTTCTGACACCTTTTCTTTGTTCTGGAACTCCAAAAAATGAAAAAGAAAATTGCAGCCACATTTATAGGCTTTCCTATTTTTTTCCAACCGTCTTCCAATAACCCAGAACAGTATATCTCTCATTTGTTCATAAAGACTCTATAATATTTTCTTTGTACCAAGATATGCACAATAATTCTCCATGTTACCTTCATATTTAGATCTTTAATCATAATTTTCACTCCAGACAAGAGATATTTTAATTTCATTAAGACCAACAGCACATTCAAATTTACCCAGAAGCAACTTACCATATGTCCTATAGCCTAGTTCAAGCCAAATGTATACCGGATTACAGTCATAAATAGACAACACTTTTTCAGTATCTAGGACAGGTTTTCTGGTCGCTTCAGTTTTTGATGGTGTGTTCACAAAATGGGACTAACAGAATTTATTGCAGGAAATGGGTCAAATCTGTTTTTAGAACTACTCATTTCCTTACCATCTGTCCCATAAACTCAGATGATACTATTCATTAAACTAAGCACTTCACAAATTTAAGAAATTGCAACAGCTTTTAATATATTTCACTAGCTGGCTGTAGTGAGACATGTAATTCATTCTGTGCACATCCTTTCTTTGTTTAACACAGCAGATACAGTATTCCTCCAAAAAGAATTGCTTAAATGTCTTATTCCTCTGTCTTATCCAGTCAGCAGTCACAGAATTAAACATCCTTATCAGTACTTCCAGCCAGGGTCATTTTGCAATCTAGTTCATGGCCAGTGGAATTTATATTTGAGTGAAACTCATAGAAATGAGTCAATTTTATTAACTATATTGAGTAATTTCTACATCAAACAAACTTTAATGTGAGCCATAGTGGTCTAGGCTTAATGCTAAAAGTTTATATAAATCTTAGCATATTGTCTTTGTGGCAAAAACTGCTCATCGATAGTTTTTTTTAGAACCAAAGCAGCAGAACACAAATCTTACACAACCATAGAAAGCAGTGCATTCAAGGATAAAAATAATGCTGTATTTATCACCAGTATTCATGGGAAAAAAGCAATGGTACTCTAATCTGCCTGCAGTATTATTATGTTGCATATTTCAAAAAACAGTGCTGATATGAAAGTTTTACAGACTTTTTATGTACAGTTAACATTGCTAGAAACTAGATAGCATACTCTGTGGATGCATATTGAAATGTTTTGATGTTTTACTCTTGAGTAACAATATGTCAAATATGTGGCTTGAGTATTTCCTTTTCTCAGGGTCAGTGTGCCTTCTGCCTGCTGCTCCATGGCTAGTCTCATAAATGCAATTTATGACTGCAGGTTAGTTTCAACACCTGTGTTTTATTGTAGCCTTGATATCATCACCTTATTTTATAACCCTCATAGTGCAGTCCAAGCATTAGTACAGCAATCTTCCAGTCTTCCCTTCCATTAACAACTCAAGGAGTTGGCATTGCAGACTTCTAAGTCAGGCAAATAATCTTCTTTCTCCTCAAAGTCTCAATTTTTCTTCCTTCTTCTCTAGAGTTTCCCATTCAGTTTTTCCCAGTGATGCCCCTATTTAGTAGGGAATAGGTCCTCTTCTAGAAGAGAGGGGAGCCCCTGACTCCTATGCAGCCTTAATGGGGAGGGGTGAGATTACTTCAACATGAGGCCTCTGCAGTCTTACTGCCACATCCTCTTTCCTCTCCTCTCTGCTACAGGGACTTACACTCACCTGACAGAGACACTTTTTCTCTGCTTCTTGAAGCTTTCCAAAAAGCTGCTTTTGAATTTATGAAACAGGTAGAATGCAGGACAGATTATTGCTGTAGGGAAAATATTATCAAGTACTGAAGGAAAATCTATGCAAAACATTGTATTTTTCAAGCACTTAACTTACTTGAGAAATGTGATCATGGTAGCATGTTGCCAGCGAAGCTGCACCACTCGCTGAGTAGGATCAAATGGCAAGGATTGACTTGCACTAATTCCAGGCAGCAACTGCCCACTGAGGTGATGTAGCATGTCATAAATGGTCTTGATATCTTTACCAAGATTTAGTTTAAGTTTTTCATCTGATGATGTCATTTGAATTTTACAGACATCACTATGTAGGGAACAAAAACAATTTTGTTTCACTATTTTAAAAAAGTTCAAGTTCAACGCATTCATAACATTATTCTCCTACTGGAGATCTAAGACATAGAGATTCCTACAAATGCATTCTCTCTAGGAACCCCTAGGGCTTCCAGCATGGCTCTATGATCAACATCTGGCAGACGCTGACCACAGACTAGTACTGGCAGATGGAACACCATGAGATTCCTGAGAGAATTTCAATCAAATCCATGAATAATCAAATTCACAAATGTGGATGCCTGACTGTATTCTATGACAGAAGGAGTGGAGATCATATGAACTGCAACTTCCAGCAGTGCTAATCAGCACTGCTAACAGTGAGAGATACTTCAGTATTACAATGCCATAACATGATTCGCCCTCTAGCATTATTGTGAATCTGGTGTTATTAAGAGTAGACAATATGTTTGTGGAGCTCTGGTTCATTACATGGACATTAATAATATGCCATCATATGTATCTTTCTCTTCATTGAACAATCTGCAGTCTAATAGATGTAAAAATAATAATAATAACAACAACAATAGCAGAAACCCATTCAGGGAAAACACAATGAAAGCACCCCAACAGATGGTCATCCAGCCTTTGTTGTAATAATAATAATAATAACAATAACAACAACAACAACAACAGGAGCAACCCCAGGAGCAACCCCAGGAGCCATCCATTCCAACCCCATTCTGCCATGCAGGAAAAGCACAATCAAAGCACACACCCCACCCAACAGATGGCTGAGGGTAAATTGCTTAGAGCAGGGGTCCCCAAACTAAGGCCCGCGGGCTGGATCCGGCCCCCCGGGGGCATTTATCCGGCCCCTGGATGCGTTGGGCTACCACGCAGGGCGGGCGGGAGGCACTTTTCAATGTGGACCTCGCTTGTCCTGAACGGCCACGGGAAGGACACCTTCCTGCCTGTTTGGCAGGTGGGCGCACAGGCAGCGTCACGTGAAATGAGTTTGTTAATTAAAGGGGCCTTTTGCATGACCCATTTGCGCGCTCACCCGCCAAGCAGGTGGGAAGGCGCCCCACAGCCCCGGCAGAAAAAGGAAGGCACCGGCACTGTCTGAAGCCTGGCGCCCTGCCAAAGCATGCACACACAAGCACACACACGCACACACCAAAATGAGCTACCAACTTCCCAACCAACGCATCTCCCAAACCCAGGAACTAAACCTCTCAAGGGGAGCTATGCTTAGAGACGGAAAGCGTCCCAAATCCTCCTCCAGCCCCCTCTCCACCTCCCCTGACTTGGGACTGAACAGCTTCTGATCCCAGGACAAACTCCCTTCCAAGGAAAAGTAAAAGCTCACCCTCAGTCCATCCATCCAGCATGCTTTTCTCCCCCTCTTCCCCGGCTTGGAAGAGGGGGAGGAAAGAAGTCATTCAAACACCCCTGCCTGCCCTAGGTATGTGCTTTAAAGCTCTTTCTGTGTATTGGGGGGGGAGGAGAGAGAAAGGGAGGAAGGAGTCAGGGACATGCAAATTGAAGGAGACAAAAAGAAGTATTAAAAACACCCAAAAGTAAGGAATTTCTTCCCTCTCCTCTTTTCCTTTCTTCCTTTCTTTTCTTTTTCTCTCTTTCTCCCCCTCCTTCTTTCCCCCTTCCTTCTCTCCCTTTCTCCTCCTCTCCTTTTTAAATCCCTTTCTTTTCTCCCTCCTCCTTTCCCCGGTGCTTCCACCGAGGCAGCTTTCAGGAAGGAGAGGAGAGAGGTGGGAGGAGGAGGAGAAGCATAATTATGAATATTATGAATAAGCATAATTATATTGTAGAACAGAGATTTGGTTAGAAAATATCCCAGATTATCTGGCAGTGCAGACTCAAATAATCCAGTTTAAAGCAGAACACCTGGGGTCAGATCCTGGGATAAAGGACCCTTCTGGAAGGGCCCACTGTCTCCTTGTGAAGGCAAAAAGTGCTGTATGAATAAGCATAATTATATTGTAGAACAGAGATTTGGTTAGAAAATATCCCAGATTATCTGGCAGTGCAGACTCAAATAATCCAGTTTAAAGCAGAACACCTGGGGTCAGATCCTGGGATAAAGGACCCTTCTGGAAGGGCCCACTGTCTCCTTGTGAAGGCAAAAAGTGCTGTATGAACAAGCATAATTATATTGTAGAACACAAATTTGGTTTGAAATTGTTATTTTCTGTTTAATTGTCCAGCTCTTACTTTGAAAGTAGTAGTTCTCCTCCAAAAACTTTGTGTGGCTGCCACAAACTGGTCATAAGAATTCGGCCAATAGGCTGAGCAGTAAACATATTCATGGGTTCCCTGCTGTTATAGTTAGCCTGTTACCCATGCTACAACATGCTTGAAGTCAAAATTTCATTTATTTGCAATTAGAAATAAATGTTTAACAATATATAAAATAAATGTTTAACAATATTCCCGTGTAAAATATAGTCCGGCCCCCCAACAGTCTGAGGAACAGTGAACTGGCCCCCTGTTCAAAAAGTTTGGGGACCCCTGGCTTAGAGACTGAGAGGGTTGAGGGGGAAAGGCTTTTGGCAGCAATTCTTCTGATTTTATAGACACATGATAACTAGGACTTCTGTCCTTGATCAAAGCAAGGCATGTATAACACTGTGCCTCCTTTCAGCTATTCATCATGCTGCTTTAGGCAGCCATTCTTCATTGCACTTAAAGCTACAGATTCATCCAGCGATCAATGGTCATGTCAGGATTACACTGAAATCCACTATAAAGAAGTAAACATTTCATCTAGCATTTAACCAAATTAAAAAGATTTTTTAAGCAATGAGAGAAAACAATCAGCAAATACCATCTTAGAGAATGTGGAATGGAAATGGGATTTGGTCCTTTTGACCAACCAAAAAGAGTAAACCAGTTCTGGGCTGCGGTAATCACTTTCTGGAAAAAGGCATGCTCCTCAGTGCCTTCTACAGGAAAAAGTGATTGTTCAAATGTGCTCCCAACCCGTCTACTTGGGCCAACACAACTTCTCGACTTTATTCTTTCATTTGCAAGCATCTTTTCCAATTCTGCAGAAAAAAAATTGTATTTAGTTATAGTTATGCAATTTTTTTCAAACAAACCAAGGAATATTACTTTTATTTTATTTTAACATTTGCTGGAAATGAAACCAAGCATTTTCAGCAGATAATGATTAATGAGATCTAATCAGACATTTTTTTCAAAGCTATATCCTGGAGAAATCATTAGCTATGATATAAAACCAAACAATATTAATCACTTTATATTGGAACCTCATAGATTATACTAGATGGTAATGAATGCATTATCATTTTGAGACTGCAACCTTGCATCCCAATTTTTTTCCATAAAACCTCTTTACTGTACATGTCTAGAAAACAAAAAAATTGAAGCTACAAAATGGATCATGAAATATCTATATATCATCAGTTGTTGTTGTATTACTTTCTTGTAACTGTTTTACTTTTAATGCATTCATTGTTACCCTTTCTTCCCATATAGAATATTCACAATGGCACATAAATGAATATTCTGACACACTATCAGAAGATCCCTGTAAATTGTTGAATCAGATTAAGTCTTGACCCAGTTCAGTATTCTTTTCCCCAAGATATACAGCCAAACGCATCCAGAAACCTCTCCAGGAAAGATGTGGACTACAAGCCATCCCCTTACCCCTCAAAACTGTTATTAGCACACCCAGCTCTGGAATGAAAGTTTCTAGTTATTTATTGTGACTAGCAGTCAGTGGAAAATCTATCTTCCATAAATCTGTATATTCTTCTTTCAAAGATGTTCTAGACCAATGCGTGATGTCAATAAAGAGCTAAATGGCAAAGCTAATGTTCTACTGATCCATAGGACGTGTTCAGAATCATCAATCAGTTCAAAATACTACTTCTGGATTTCTTAGAATGATATAAAGGCTCTCTTTAAATCATTTAATTAAATGTGATTGTTGCCTCTCAGACTTTAAATGCCAAAACTATATTGGCACTAGTTCTACATATAATTTGTCATCGTTTTCGTTTTGTATTATCACTTTATTTCTGTGGCTATACGATAGACAATTTTATAGCATAGATTTTATGTTGCTGTGGACATTAAGTTTGGGAGACAATAAAAATATTTAAATACCAAAACACTTTTTTTCTAAATGCTTGGTAACAGTCTCACCTTAACTCCACAAGTACGAGTAATACAGAATTTCTCTTTGTAAATGGTTTGCTGATCTTAATTTTATACATTGAATATTTATAAGTTGAAGGCACAACCTACACACCAACTGTCCTCGGCAACAGCTACACCTTGCTGCCCCCTCCCACCAGCTACCGGCAAGGAGGAAGTTAAAAGGAGGGCAGGAGACTTCGGCTCCTCCAGAGTGGAAGGTGCAGCCTACACACCAACTCTCCTCGGCAACAACTACACCTCGCTGCCCCCTCCCACCAGCTACCAGCAAGGAAGAAGTTAAAAGAAGGGCAGGAGACTTTGTCTCCTCCAGAGTGGAAGGTGCAGCCTACACACAAACTCTCCTCGGCAGCAGCTACACCTCGCTGCCCCTCCCCATCTTCAGTCTACTGGCAAGTGATAGTTCACACCTGCCTCATGACACCACAACTGGTGAAATCTATTTTCCTCTGTACTTTTACCAAACTGATCAGTTGCCTAATATCCTCATCAGATAAGACTCTCCCCCCGCCCTCTCCAAGGACCCCATATCACATTTACCATCCCTCAAGAAATCTCAGTACATGTTTTCTTTTTTAACCCTCCCCGTTTTTATTCAATCTGTACCTAAATAACTTTGCGTCTGGTGGGATGGCGAGGGAGCAGGGAGGGTATAAAAAGAAGGGCTGAAACACTATGGAGAGAGAGTTGGGGGGAAGAGAAGGGATCTACATTGTTAACTGTAGCAATAATATGTTTCATGCTTATGTCTATGCTTGATGTTTTTATAGTTTTAATGGTTATTTTCTACAGTTATATGTTATTGATTTGGATATGTGATATTTTTGTATATATGTGAGGCTTTGAATTTGCCATTTATTATGTTCTAAACTGCTTTGAGTCCCCCCAGGGGTGAGAAAAGCGGTATAGAAATGCAGTTAATAAATCCATAAATAATAAATAAATATAACCTTAGTGTTTTTCAGTAATGTGCAGATGTTAGACAGAAATCTGAGAGTTGCATCTATCATCACCACTGATCTTGGGTGGAACACACCTGCCCAACTCTGTATTAGACTAACATGGCTGTAATTTACTAGGTCCTCTACCTCATTTTCCAATATGCCAAGTCAGTTGTAGTGTCAAATTCCATATTTTTCTTACTAGACAACAATTATGCAATATAATTATTTGAGAACTCCCAAATGTATGCCATCTTAAGGTAATTACTTAGTGATTTTTAATTAGTAAATTAGCCTCAGAAATGATGCCTTCTTGCCTTTATGTTAGGTCTAGGAGCTACATCCTATTTACTTGAAACTGCAGCACATATATCAGCATATAGAATGTACCAGAGAGAGATTACATATTTTAGTTCTTTTTTAAAAGGAAGGAAGGGAAGAAAGAAACCAGCACTGTAAAGGGGAATGGCCATTTCTTTTTCTCTCACCTTTTTTTTTAAAAAAATGCATGTGTTGTATCACAGAGTAGTAAAAAACAATGTAATTTAAAACCAGTTTTATTAGCATAGTAAAATCTAAATTGGCCATACATATTTTGTTAATATTAATATTTTATTAAATAAAAAATCAAATGAACCCCTCTGATATTGTATATCAAGGTATGATGTTTTATTTCTTTATTTTAAACACTCAGAATAGGAACTGAGGTAAGTTTTAATATGTGCTTTTATTTCATTATTTCATTATTTCATTATGTGCTTTTATTTTCTTACTGAATGTATTTCAGTATAATGCTGAGGAGTGGCAGTGGCACAATGGGTTATTATTATTATTATTATTATTATTATTATTATTATTATTATTTATTTCAATTACTTTTACCCCGCCCTTCTCACCCCAAAGGGGACTCAGGGCAGCTTACAGACGAAGGCACAATTCGATGCCTGAATTAACTAACAAATAATACGGAAAGCAATTCAAACAGTTAACAAATTAAAAACATCAATACATAGTAAAATAGCAAAACAATCTCATGCTCAGTGTTCAGAGTCCGTGTGTCCATTCCATTCCATCTGTCCTTATTTATCATCAGATCCTTTAGCTGCCAGAATGTCCAAAGGCTTGGTCCCAAATCCAGGTCTTCAATTTTTTCCTGAACGTCAAAAGGGAAGTCGCTGATCTAATCTCCCCGGGGAGGGAGTTCCACAGGTGAGGGGCCACCACTGAGAAGGCCCTGCTCCTCGTCCCCACCAACCTCACTTGTGATAGTGGCGGAGTCGAGAGCAGGGCCTCCCCAGATGATCTTAAGCTTCGAGATGGGATGTAGAGGGAGATCCGTTCGGACAAATACACTGGGCCGGAACCGTATAGGGTTTTAAAGGTCAAGACCAGCACTTTGAATTGTGCTCGGAATTGGATCGGCAGCCAGTGGAGCTGACGCAGTAGGGGGTTGTATGCTCCCTGTACGCCGCTCCGGTGAGCAATCTGGCTGCTTCTCGCTGGACTAGTTGAAGTTTCCGAGCAGTCTTCAAAGGCAACCCCACGTAGAGTGCGTTGCAGTAATCCAACCGGGATGTAACAAGAGCGTGGACCACCGTGGCCAGATCTGACTTCCCAAGGTACGGGCGCAGCTGGCGCACAAGTTTTAATTGTGCAAAAGCTCTCCCAGCCACCGCTGAGACCTGGGGTTCCAGGCTCAACGATGAGTCCAGGATCACTCCCAAGCTGCGAACCTGCGTCTTCAGGGGGAGTGACCCCGTCTAACACAGGCTGTAACCCTATACCCTGTTCGGCCTTACTGACCAGTGTACCTCTGTCTTGTCTGGATTCAATTTCAATTTGTTAGCTCTCATCCAGTCCGTAACAGCGGCCCCGGTTCAAGGTCTCGACAGCCTCCTTGGTGACAGGTGGAAAGGAGTGACAGATTTGGACATCATCTGCGTAGAGATAACATCTCATTCCAAAACTCCGAATGATCTCTCCCAGCGGCTTCATGTAGATGTTAAATAACATCAGGGACAGAATTGAACCCTGTGGGACTCCACACAACAACGGTTGCGGAGCCGAACAGGTGTCACCCAGTAACACCTTCTGGGTCCGTCCCTCAAGGAAGGATCGGAGCCACTGCAAAGCAGTGCCCCCGAGCCCCATGTCCATGAGGCGCCCCAGAAGGATACCCTGATTGACGGTATCGAAGGCCGCTGAGAGGTCCAGCAGAACTAACAGGGACACACTCCCCCTGTCAAGCTCCCTGCGCAGATCATCTACCAAGGCGACCAAGGCTGTCTCAGTTCCATGTCCCCTGGCCTAAAGCCAGACTGTGCCGGATCTAGATAATCAGTGTCTACCAGAAACCCCTGGAGTTGTGTCGCCACCACACGTTCCATGACCTTGCCCAAATAGGGGAGATTGGAAACTGGCCGATAGTTGTCAATTGAGTGGGATCCAGTGATGGTTTCTTCAACAGCGGTTTTATAATAGCTTGTTTTAAGCTCGCTGGAAATTTTCCTTCCTGTAAGGCGGCATTAACCATCACCTTCACCCACTCCGCCAAACCCCCTCTGGCTTCCTTGATCAGCCAGGATGGGCAGGGGTCTAGGATGCATGTGGTGGGTCGCACCTCTCCAAGGATCCTGTCCACATCCTCAAGCTGAACCAATTGAAACGAATCCAACAAAACTGGACAAGCAGGTGCTCTCGTTACATCCCCAGAAACTGCCGTTAATATGACGTCGAATCCAGACCGAATCCGCTCAATTTTATCCGCGAAGGATCGAGCAAATGCTTCACAGCGAGCCACCGAGTTATCCGAGGCCTCGCTTTTTGGCGGATTTAACAGGCCCCTGACAACTCGAAAAAGCTCAGCTGGACGATTCTTCGCTGATGCAATATTGGCTGTGATGAATATTTTCTGAGCCGCCGCTATTGCCACACCGTAGGACCTTAGAAAGGCATTCAGGTGTGTTTGGGCTGGATTGGTGGGATTCTGGCGCCACACGCGCTCTAACCTCCTCTTCTTTCGCTTCATCACTGCCAGCTCCTCAGTGAACCAAGAGGCTGGTTTAGCTCGGTTACTCGAGAGGGGGCGTTCTGGAGCGATAGTGTCAATTGCCCTGGTCAACTCACTATTCCAGCGAGAGACCAGAGCATCGACAGTGTCGCTAGCCAAGGAGGTGGAGAAATCCCGAAGAGCTGTCAGGAAACCATTTGGATCCATAAGTCTCCTGGGGTGGACCATTCTAATGGGTCCACCACCCCTGCGAAGGTTAAAAGACACAGTTAGTCTAAATCTGATCAGGTGGTGATCGGTCCATGGCAAAGGAGCGATGGTCGGCTCCTCCATCCCGTCACCCTCATCCCATCCTTGGGTGAAGACCAAATCCAAGATGTGTCCGGCACTATGGGTGGGACCAGATATTAGCTGGGACAGGCCCATGGTTGCCATGGCGGCCATGAAGTCCTGAGCCGCACCAGAAAGAGAGGCCTCGGCATGGATATTGAAATCTCCCAAGACCAGAAGCCGTTGGGAGCTCAACGCCATGTCCGAGACCACTCCCGCTAGCTCAGGTAGGGAGACTGTAGTGCAGCGGGGTGGTCGGTACACTAGCAGAATCCCTATCCTGTCCCGGTCACCTATCCTAAAGCCGGCACACTCAAAAGAAGATGATTGTGGGATAGGACACCTGTTCAGTGGAATAAAGTCCTTATAGACCACTGCGACTCCGCCTCCCCGCCCTCCAAGCCTTGGTTGGTGCTGAACGGAATAACCTGGTGGACAGAGTTGGGAGAGATTAACCCCTCCCCCCTTGTCTAACCAGGTTTCCGTTATACAAGCCAGGTCGGCTCGTTCTTCTTGGATTAGATCTTGGATGATGGAAGTTTTTCCGTTTACCAACCTGGCATTGAACAGCACCACCTTTAGCTTGGAGGGGCCACCATCCTGGCACCTCAGTTGTATTTTGTCAGGAGTAGGTTTTGGAGTTGCCAAATTGTTTTTATTAATTTCGGGCTGGATAGTAGCATTAATTTTTGGAGTTGCCAATGTCCTATTGAGAATTTTGGGCCGAATTTGCTTTTGTCTTTGATTTCTAGCGTCTTTAGAGGTTGCCAAATTGTTATTAAAAATTTTGGGCCAAAATGGATGTTTTGTTCTCCCCTTCCCGTATCTCCCTCTACCAGTCACCACCTCTATGGCGGCCCCCCCCACCCGCAGCCCCCCCCCCCGGGGACATTACCTCCATTTCCAGCAGTTGTAATCTCAATAATGGACGCATGCTCATATTTCCCTTGTGCTCGCTGAAGTGCTGACCTGAAGGTCAGTGGTTCAAATTCTCAAGATGGGGTGAGCTCCTGTCTGTCAGCTCCAGCTTCCCATGTGGGGATATGAGAGAAGCCTTCCACAGGATGGTAACACATCCGGGCGTTCCCTGGGCAACGGCTTTGCAGACAGGCAATTCTCTCATACCAGAAGTGACTTGCAGTTTATCAAGTCATTTCTGACACGATTTAAAAAATGATGTATTTTAACTATATTGTCCCTATCTTGGGCCATAAAGAGAGGTGAGTAATACATTATTATATCATTATTATCTCCATTAATTTCATTTGGTTTGCTGTATAAATGTGGTCACTTATAATACCTGCTAAGCAAGTGTACCTATTTTGCAAAGAAACTTCTAGAAATATAGACAACACAACACAGAATATAATACCTTCAGAGAACTACTGAAAAATTTAACTGCCAATATTGCCAGCAGTCATACCTGCAACAGAATTTTCATAGGCAGAATTTGTAATTGCATCAAAAGTACTGGAAGAAGTTTGTGAACATGATTCTGGAATATAGCGTGGATGCTGCACAGCTTCTCCAGTGCTATAAATTATCTCAGTAGAATCTATAATTTGGAAAATAATAATAAACCGCAGACATAATGCAAATGTCACTTTCATATCTTCAGTTAAAAAAACCTACTAACTGCACGCTAGTAAGTGATTGATTGATTAATTAATTATACACAAACAAATAAATCATTCACAGTAGCATAACCTACATAGCTAGTGCTACAGGAAAATTACAAAGCACAAAACCAATGTAGTGATAGTAGAGTGAAAATCTCTTTAGTACAATTCCACCCATTATAAAGCTTTGTGGAATTGATTCTAGAACCATGTTGTACAACTGGCGCTGCACCCAAAACTATATTTGTTGCTACCGTACACTAATTTTGAAAACGCCCCAGTTTTAGTGCACTGGACCTGAAAAAGTGCAATAATGTAAATAGACAACAGTATTAAATACCAATTTTGAAGTGTTGAATTGTAAAGAAAACAGTCCAATGCAGCATATAACAATTAATCTTTTTCTTTAAAGTATATGAAACAGATTTGAAACACATATGTAATATATGACAAATATTTGAAGGTATAAGTCATGGGTTATCCTGTACAGAGAAACTACTATCACAGGAACTTATGGATAAAAAATTATTATATGCTTACTGCTTTTCAGGTTAATTTTTTGTTCATTGAGATGGTATGCCAGGTATGGGTACACAGTAAGGAGGCAATTCTCTGCTGTCACAGACACCTTCAGTGGATATCTAAAAATACAGTAAGTTTCACTGAAATAACAAGTCTGTATTTCCTAACCAATAAGAATGTTTAATGTTCCAACCAATAGTAAGGCCCTGAATTTCACGCCACACACATGTCCTTGCTTATTTATTTATTTATTTATTTATTTATTTAATGTACATCATATTTTAATCCCAATATGAGAACTAGGGGGGTTCAAAATATGGGTTGAAACAAAATAAAGATAAAACAATATAGATAGAGGTTATACTCTGCCTTACATTTAAAGAATTCAGTGGTCTTCTGGCAACTAGTTTCTTTAAGATTGAAAAAAGTCAGATTCTTAATAGACTCTACAATCCTTGCGTCTCATTGGGAAATCTTTTATGGTGATCTCTTTAATAAGGCAGGCAATTCAAACAATGTAAAACACATAACAACTCATTACAATCCTGCCACCCTCCCAGCCTGGCCACACGTTGAGCCACATGAAGTAATATCTATTATCAACGCACTTCAAAACAAAGTGTCAGGGGAGGATTTTTGCCGGCTGAACCTTTCAAGAACAACAGTGATTGGTGGGTTCAACTTTTAGCAGGGCTCTTCTCTCACATTAACAATTCATGCAGTATACCTAGAAACTGGCAGATGAGTATTATCATCCCTATTCATAAGAATGGAGGAAAAAAACCAATCCAAAGAACTATCGGCCTATAAGCCTGACTGATATCACAGCAAAAATTTACACAAAATATCTTTTGATTAAAGTTGAGCAGTGGGCCAATGACAACAATATTCTCTGTGAAGAACAATCGGGGTTCTGACAGGGACGTTCCACCATAGATAATTGCTTTGTCCTGCAGAACATAATTCAAAAGTATAATTCAAGCAGGATGAGACTGTATTCAGCATTTATAGACTTGTCTTCACCGTCTGACACAATTTGCCACAATACACTATGGGAAAAATTGGCCGCGACAAACATTGACAGAAGATTACTTACTTTAATAATTATGCTGTATTCTGATACAGTACTGAAAGTCAGAATTGGACCCAGTGGTGCCCTGAACAATGATAGAGGTTATAAAATGTAGCCTCACACAAGAGAGAATTCTTTAATCTAGGTGAAGGCCCTCTCCATGATCTCAACAACTATACCCATGAAAGTAGTTAGGCTGAGAGAAACCCCACCCCCTAAGGATCTCAAAAATGTAATCAGGTTTACATAAGTAGATCCAGTCCTTCAGATAATCAGAAGACAAGCATTTAGGAGTCTGTATTCTTCAAGGCTTTCATGGACAGCATCACTGGGGTGTTTTGTGGTTTCGGGGCTGTAAGGCCATGTTCTAGCAGCATTTTCTCCTGATATTTTGACTGCATCTGTGGCTGGCATCTTCAGAGGATCTGAAGATGTCAGCCACAGATGCAGCCTAGAAACCACACAACACCCCATTTAGGAGTTTAAAGCACTTCGATTTGTGTCTGGAAAGAGACTGGCAATCAGAATGTTGTAATACATACATCCAAATACCTGCATATAATCATGTTTTAGCATAATCAGCAGCAATGAGCAAATAAACAATACAGGCAGTCCCCAAGTTACAAATATCTGACTTACAAATCACTCATGGCTAAAAGATAGATAGATAGATAGACAGACAGATAGCTGGGGTTACACTTAAAAATGTACCTGTGCCAAATTACATACAAATTCAACTTTAAAACAAACCTATAGTACCTATAGTATTTTATTCATAACTTGGGGACTCCCCGTACATCATTTTGATTTCTAGATGTGCTGAACTATAGCCAATACCCAAGTTATGAACAAGATGGTTTCTGTAGGTTTGCTCTTAAGATGAATTTGTTTGTAAGTTGGAACAGGTACATTCTTGAGAGTAACTTCAGCCAATTTTTATACACACAGAAATACACACACACACACACACACACACAAGCTTTGGCTTGTTATGAAAACAAGGATTGTTGAGAAAACTTTAGTGGAGACACCTTTTCCCCATGATAACTCTTTTAGGAGTGAATTTCCCTTCCTAGAGTTGATTTCTCTCACTTCCTGTTGTCTCACCCCCATTCTTAACTATGAGTTGTTTGTAGGTTGGATTTTTGTAACTCAGGGACTGCTTGTATACTTTTGCAAGATGAAAAACTAAATGAACTAGTTTTGTCCTGCCTGGATGACCCAGACTGCGCCTGCTGGAGATTGGGAGCAGAGTAGGGCTGTGCACCGTTCCATTTTTCAAAATGGGTTCTGGATGATTTGGCATTTTCAGGCACCATATCACCCGTAATGGCATGGGTGGCAGGATCATGGTTTTTTGGGGGGGTTTGGCCGCAACAAAATACCTAGCAATCAAAAATGGTTTTCAGTTTCTTACTTACTTACTTAGGCAATCCCTCTTTGGCCGAGTAGGATAGTCTTCCAGGATCAGTATTCTTGTGGGTCCGTAGGTGGCTGTGGAGCCCTATTCTTGATCTGCATCTTCTTCCACAGTGAGGGCATTGGTTTCCAGGTGGAATGCGGTCTTGGTTGGGGTTGGCTTGACGCATCTTCCTCTTGGCACATTTCTCTCTTTCACCCTCCATTCGTGCCTCTTCAAATTCTGCAGCACTGCTGGTCACAGTTGACCTCCAGCTGGACCGCTCAAAGGCCAGGGCTTCCCAGTTCTCAGTGTCTATGCCCGAGTTTTTTACGGAGACACGTGAAGCAGTCACACATGTTCCCTGTGAGCCTGCTGCCTGAGCCAATCAGAAGAGGAAAGCCGCCCATGTGTCTTTTAGCCAAACTGGTCTAAATACTGGGGTGAGGTTGTATCTCTCAGTGTAATCACTGCTTTGGATTGCTTTTTGCCTCAATTCCTTTTGTTTGGCAATCTAATTAAATTTTCTAAGTTTAATATCTTGCAGTCCCCATGTTGCTAGGGAAGTGAGGGTTGGTGTGTGTTTGAAAGGGTATTGGGGTGCGGGGGTGTTTGTTTAAATATTGGAGCTGACTCCCTTGAGCCGTTTTAGGTTGTTTGTTGTTCACCTCTTTGACTCTTGTATTTTTCTTGTGGCTTCTGTGTTTGTGCACTCCTTCTCTCCATTGCCCTTTCTTGGGGCTGCCACCACCTTGACTTTCTGAATCAGTGAAGATAATGACCTGCTCTGAACCCCAAGACTTAAAATAATATAACATGGTCCATTGGTTTTTTTCAAAACTCTCCCATCTATATCTAATTCCTCTCTTTTTCAATTCGTCTGTAAGAAAGTAATATTTCTTCCTTCTGTTAAGTGTCATTTGCAGGTATTATTTACGAACTGGAATTTTCACTCCTTTATATTGTAGCAGATCTTTATTGGTCTTCCATAGTATCTCATCCCTTACTTTCTTCTAAATTGGACTATCACGTCTCTTGGTGTTTTATGTTTCCTAGAGCAGAATGAGGAAAGTCGATATATTTGGTCCACCTCTTGCTCAAGCTCATCCTCTTCCACTTCTAAAATTGTGGCCAATAGCGTTATCACTATTGATATTATATCTTCCTTCAAATCTTCTTGAATATTTCTTAGCCTCAATTGACAACCCATTTGTTTTTGTAAAAATCTTTCTTGTTCCAATTCCATTTTTTCCTTTTTTTTTTTCCTCCGGTGTCTTCATTTTCTTCAAAATTACCTCCTGTGTCTCATCTGTTTCAATTTTGCCAGCTTTCAAAACTTCTACCTCGCCTGCCAAATGATTCATTTCTTTCTTCAACTCTCCAAACTCTTCCTTCATTTCTTTTTTCATATCTTTAAGATCATTATCTATTTTTATAGTATTCTTCTTGTTTATCTATCTTATCTTTCTTCATAGTATCTTGTTTTTCAGAGAGTTTCTTAATTTCCTTTAAAAGGTTATCCATGTTCACTCCTGTATCTACATTTTTAAAATGCTTTTCCCCAGTGGATCATACAATAGTGTTTTTCTAACAAGGGGACATCTTGCTTGTGGATGATGGGCTGCTAACTTCTTCTAGTATGTTGTGAGAACAAGAAATGCAAAAGCTTTGGAATAAGTTTTTTTTAATTAGTAAAGAAAGTGTGATGTTGAAGTCTACATCTTTGATATTTGGCAGGAAGGAATGGTGCCCTGCTGCCCCTGGAGAAATTACAGTGCAGGGCCAGCAGAGCTACCTTTTTGGGAATTTTTTAAGGAGATTTTATTTCTAGAAACTTTAAGAATGTCCTAAAAAATCAGTGGATGACCCAAACATTCTGGAACTTGCAGTGTTAAATATGGCCATTTTAATCACGATGGCCCTAAAATTGACAGAAAGGGAAACTTGGGAAGTTCCCCAATTGCCACCAATGGGCCAGATCATCCTGAAACGAAAATGGATCTTCAAGCTGCCAGATCAAAAAATGGCATTTTGCCCACCCAAATTCAGGCAGCTCCCAAAAAATGGAATGGGGCCAAGCGAAAACTGGATGCCAAAAACGAAACTGGCTTTTCCTGAAATGCACATCTTTAGTACAGAGCATCTGAACAGCTCTACAGAACCCAAGAATGGTCAAGAGCATTTCTGGACCAGACTGCCCTTGGATTTCAGTGTTTGTGTAGATTGGTTCTCATTCAGCTGTACAGATGAGTGTAACTTTGACTGAGGGTCACCAAATTCCCATAGTGTTGCACTCTACATTCTCTGAAAATTCCATAAAATATTAGCATTACTTTAAATATTAAAGTTTCATACAAGATTTGACACAAAATATATTTGAACTGATTTATAATTTTTAGACCATTGCTTAAACATTTAGATAAATGTTAATAGGAATACCTGTTTCTTTCTTCATCAACAAAGTACAAATTCTTCATAAAGGACAATGGTTTTGAGGAACTGAAATTGACTCTGCAGGTGAATCCAATATTATCTCCTTCTTCTGATATTTTTATCTCATTGCCATTTGGAAATTCCACAGTTATGGGATTGATTTTTTCTTTTTCTTCATCATCATCATCACCATCAACAACAACATAAACATTATCATCACTGGCAGGACACACCTCAGGAACCTCAACTTGTAAAACAGATGGCCTATAAAAGCAAATAAAATACATATTCCTGAAGGTCCAAAGTAATAACACAAAAAATCCAGCAAATTACTTTGCAAAAAAATATTTTTGAGGTTTTTGCCATTCAAAAAACCACAACTATTGATATAGCTAACACTTTGTACTTCAAATTACTAAACAATCAAGAGGGTAAGGTTTTCCCATTATACTTAACATTATATTCATAAGTTCCAGAATTTCCCACTATTCACTGCTACATATAATGTGATAAATATGCTCGGCTCTATGGAACTTTAACCTCTATAGCCCAAAAAGACATAAGAGTCAAGCAGCATCCTAAACAGTCAAATGACTTATTTATTAATGCTGAGTTTTCAATTAATTGATCCATAAAAGGCCTAAAATGCTTTTTCCATTAGTGAATTCTAAATCCAAACAAACAATCTGCATTTGGCAAAGAAATATTTCCTAAGAGTAACTACATCACTAAACATTTTCATAAAATCTTTTAGTATTTCAAATCTGTACTGTATAATGATATGTCTTGTGCTAACACAGAATTTGTACAGGTTACTTTTTGTATTACAAAATAAAATTGCTGCAGAAGAGATACTAGCTCAGCTATTTCTCCTTTCCACCTGGCTCCAAGGAAGCAATTTTGGAAATAAACCATATCTGACATCAGTAATAGTTTGAATGAAGGCAAACAAACAGAAGCTAAATACAGAGAAAACAGAGATGCTCCTGGTAAATTTGAAAGGTATATCACAGTTCTTGCTGGATTGAGTTAGGCCCCTTCTACGCTGCCATATAAAATCCAGACCCCTGCTACACTGCCATATAATCCAAATTATCTAAAAAGATAATCCACATTATCTGCTTTGAACTGGATTATATGAGTCTACACTGCCATATAATCCAGTTCAAAGCAGATAACCAGGATTTTATATGGCAGTGTAGAAGGGGCCTTATACTCTTGAAGATTCAAATTCAGTTATACTGCTGGACTCAGTTTTAAACCTGAAAGCCAACTCTCTGCTGTGACCAGGAGTTTATCACACTTAAAAAGCGATCGGGCAACTGCACCTATTCCTAAAGATGCCTAATCTGGCCATATGGCACATATTTTAGTTGCACCCTGTTTGGATTACTGAAATGCACTCTGAACCCTTTCAAAAATTTTCAGTATTATTTATTTATTTATATCCCGCTTTTTCCCACGGGTTTCCCATGGGAACTCAAAGCGGCAAACAATAGTTAAGACAACAGATATTACATTACCCAAAAGCAAAATAAAGCTGATAACAAATAATGCAATTACATACATCATAAACAACAAAGTTAATAAATAATAAATAAAGGTAAAGTCTTGTTTTATTTAGACACACTGTTAAAATGGAAATATTTTACTGGACCTGTACAATTGTGCCCCCACATTTGTGGTTTTTACTTTGGAAGATTTGATTATCTACAAATTTGATTAAAACTTGCTCTAGCACTCCTGTGAAAGTGGGGAAAAAACCTGAAAATAAAGACACTGCTTTTTTTACCCATGAGAACATCACAAGTGCAATTCTATGGTCGGCTTTCAGAGACATCCTTGGAAAGACCTAAAAATTCTATTTTATTGATCATTTTTAATATGTTTTAACTATAGCTGGCATCCCATTATCCAATCTATGACCTATCTGGTCTTTATATTCCAATGACTACTTTGTAAATATGACCTTTTATCTAATTATCAATATATATTAGAGGTTATACTTTACAGAAATTCATTCATGACCAAATCAAGTATTATCAAAGGACTGATAATACCTGATCTGTTAAGCTCCTATCAGAAATAAATTATACAATAGTTATTCTACTGCTATATTTCTTTTTGTATTTTTTATTCTCTTACCTGTAGCACAAAATTATCATTATAAAAGATAATAAAGAAAAATAGTGATTTCAACTGTGAAGAAATGTACTTACTAAAATGTATATTGCAAGTTAAAGTGGTAATTTACCTTAAATAATTTTGAGGAATTAAAGAGACATTTGCTCCAGTTTTCACACTGAGAGGAACAGGCGTCAGAATTAACAGCTGAGGTTCAAAGCTCATCTTGGGTGACTTTAGAGCACCAAATAAACTGACTGTTCTGTAAATAGACGTCTCCTTATTCAAAAACACTGGAACTTCTGCTGTGTATTCTCCAGGACTAACTGAAAAAAAATGTTAGGAGACATCCATATTACTAAAAAGATATGTACATTTTTAAAGCACAGATTAGACTAGATTCTTTACAAATAAAGCATACACCTATATTTTTGGCAACAAAGCTAAGACAGCTGGTTACCAAAACTGGATAATATTTTGGTGAGATTAAAAGATTTTTCTACGAAATCATTTTTTAAGAAAATAATCTCTAAATCATGCCAACCTATAATGTGTGAAATCCACAGGTCAAGTAACATGCAATATTTAAAATTATATCCAAGTTTCTTTATGAAGCACATCAATAAAGATAATATTTAGTAACTCCTGTGTTGAATCCATAGACAAAATAATCATATAGGAAAGAAATTATTTATTCCCAGTTATGTTCATCAATACATGGATGAGCTATATCAATTTATGGGGCATAGGTAGTGGGTTTATATGGGATCCATACATTCAGTCAACAAGACACTGAAATAATGAATTTTGACTGCAGGAATAATGGGGAGCTGGGCATGTTTAGCCTGAAGAAGAGAAGGCTGAGAGGAGATATGATAACCATGTATAAATATGTGAGAGGAAGCCACAGGGAGGAGGGAGTAAGCTTGTTTTCTGCTTCCTTGGAGACTAGGACGCGGAACAATGGCTTCAAACTACAAGAAAGGAGAATCCATCTGAACATAAGGAAGAACTTCCTGACTGTGAGAGCCGTTCAGCAGTGGAACTCTCTGCCCCGGAGTGTGGTGGAGGCTCCTTCTTTGGAAGCTTTTAAACAGAGGCTGGATGGCCATCTGTCAGGGGTGATTTGAATGCAATATTCCTGCTTCTTGGAGGGGGTTGGACTGGATGGCCCATGAGGTCTCTTCCAACTTTTTGATTCTATGATTCTATGGGGGAAGCCAGGTGGGTGACACTTCCCCCAACGGGATAGGGACTTGGCCAAGTGGGATGGTACGCCCCCCCCCCCTGAAAGGCACCACCAGAATTGCCATGATGTATGGGTTTAAATTCCTATTTGGCCATGAAACCCACTCTCAGAAGAAGGCAATGGCAAACCACTTTTGAACAAATGTTGCCAAGAAATCCTATTACAGGGTTCCCTTAGGTTCGGCAAAGATCAGAAAAAGCTCAAGGACACACAACTTAAAAACTGTGGGAAATTATTTTTGCAATTATTGAATGGTTGATTTAACAGCTAACTTGCTTAGTTTGATTTTGACAGAACTTATTTAACGTAGAGGGCTCACGCTTTCTCAAAATCTTCCCAATGTCATGTTATCTCCCTTTCTATTCCTAGCTTCTTTCATTATTGACCTTTCCAACATAAAGTAATAGAAAATCTTAAAAGTAAGCTCAGAAAGTGTTAAGACCCTATTTCACTTTGTAGGATAGCTATCAAACATATGGTAGATACATCACGAGCAAGATTTCAAGACAGTCTAGCTTTGATGAAGTTTGCAAAGAAAGTGAGGTGAGCTTACATGAACTTGTACAAAGTTGAAAGTAACTCAATCCTTGATACAAACTCATCTGGAATGTTTCATAAACCCTTTCATTGCAATATCCTGTTTTAAAAGCAGTTAAGCATCTTTGACTACATTTTAAGTGAGGCTGTAATTTTAAAGTCTCCAATATTTTCTTAGTATCTGTCAGACATAACTTCCTGTGTGGCTCATGGTATGGCATTGGGAAGCATTTATGGGAATCAGGGACTAGCAATCAACATATTTTTCCAGGGAAATCATGCACCCTTCAAACATTACAAATGATCCTCATGGGATTCACATAAAAAAAATCAAGACATACAAAAATAGAATCACAAATAGAATAAAAACAGTATTGAGGTACCCAGGAAAGATACTAATGCTGGAAAAATAGTCAGACCATCTTTGTAGGATGGATTGAGTGTTATTCAATGTTTTACTATCTTTACCCTTGATGTGCATCACATGGGTAAAATCTTGTGTCATCCTTTGGCGTGATTTAGCAAGTCAATACACCATGTTTGCCCCTTCTGGTGTATCTAGTTTATCATAGACATGCTGATAGTAGACATTTTTTTTTGCATGTATTACTGAATGTTTTGTTGCTGATTTCAATAGTCAGTATTTGTCCCTGTCTATTTGGAGGTGCCATTTTCTCCATGTTAAAAATGCCTGTTTCTATTTCTTGATTGCATTTTTTACATTTGCACTCCACCACCAGGTTTGTTTGTCAATATACTGATACCCTGGCTTTTTCTTGCCTGGAAGTGTTTCAGCAGCTATGTCGATTTGGTTTACAGCATCCTTCTGCTGACTGGTCAGAGTTCACTTTGAAATTTTTCAGGCCAACAGCTAAGATCCCCGAGTGTTCTTTTAGTTTCCATCATTTGAATTTTGCTTGCCCAGTTTTAGGGGTTTTTTTTCTGTTGCATCAAATGGCTCATTTGAATGTCCAGAATGAGTAGCCTATGCTGCAGAGCTATGTTAACAGACAGGACAACTTTTATGTCTTTAAGAAGTTTCAGATCCAGTCTTCTCACCATCCAATAGTCAACTTGGGTCAAGTGGCAATCACTGGTGTATGTAGCTAACTATGACACCCTCTTCTTTATAACTCCAGTTATAAACATCTTGCAAACTTATTCTTAATCCAGAACCTACTGTGATGCTCCTGATTAGTTGCAAGACAAATCAGGAAACAGATGTTCAACCTGTGCTGGATGAATAACACCACCTGAAGATGCAGGTCCAAAGTTTCAGTATATTCTCCTAGATTCAGCTTTAAACAACACAGCAAGATTATTAGGCCCCTTCTACATGTCCTATATCCCAAGATCTGATCCCAGTTTATCTTATTTAAACTGGATTATATGAGTTTGCAATACCAGATACTGGGATAAGCAGATAATCAGGGAGCAGAGCGTGGGGTACAGGTGTAGTGTGGGTGGGGCCTAGATCTGGGTTTTCTGCAGGGGCTAGTGGAGTTGTTATCACAACTCCACTAGCTGCCAGTATTATAAATACCCCATATTTACTTGCCATAAAAATCTAATGCACAATTTGCAAAACCCTGAAACCAAAAAGTATTTACCGCCAAATGTAATGCGTAATGGCAAAAAGTGCTCTCTGACATTTGGCCAAAAAAAATAATGCATTACTCTTGCTGCCTGCTTAGAATTTCTTCATTATAAACAGTTGTGTTAGAACACCAAATCTTTCAACAATGAAAAATAAAAATTTGGGGTGCATGTATGCTGTATAATTAATCCAATTTAATTGATTGGTTCAATGCTATGAAATGCTGGAGGCTGTAGTAAAACTCCTTTTTAATGACAACATTTTGTAAGATTTAACTATTTGTTTTGATATGTTTACTGCCTTAAGACCCAGTTTTGGGGGATAAATGAAAACATTTATTATTATACTGACACAAAAACACAGTATGTCACAGCAAATGAGATCTATATGCTGGATTTTGTATCACAAAATCACAAGTCGAACACTTCCCAAGCGTCTAGGACTGTGTGATGTATTTTTTAATGATGCACGCTGATCCAAGTAAGGTAGCCTTTTGCAGTTGACAGATCATGATTTTGTCAATTGTCATTTTGTCATTGTTTCCAAATGCCAACAGATCTTTTGGCACAGCACCCAGTGTGCCAATGACCACTGGCACTACCTGGACTGGTTTATGCCAGAGCCTTTGCAGTTCAATTTTGAGGTCTTGATAATGGCTGAGTTTTTCCTGTTGTTTTTCCTCAATGGAATGGCGACACCAATAATCCAAACTTTTTTCTTTTCCACAATCATGATGTCTGGTGTATTGCGTTCCAAAACTTTGTCAGCCTGGATTTGAAAGTCTCACAGTATTTTTGCATGTTCATTTTCCACTACCTTTGCAGGTTTATGATCCCACCAGTGCTTTACTACTGGCAGGTGATACTTGTTACATAAGTTCCAATGAATCATTTGGGCCACAGAGTTGTGCCTCTGTTTGTAGTTCATTTGTGCAATTTTCTTGCAGCAGCTGAGGATATGATCAATGGTTTCAGCTTCCTTGCATAGTCTGCATTTATTATTATTTTTATTATTATTAGTAGTGGTAGTAGTAGTCGTAGTGGTAGTAGTAGTTTTACAGTCTACCTGGTGCCACTAATGAATTCAGGACCATCATACAGGGATTGCTGTCAAAATACTGAAGTTTTTTTTTTCACTTCTTATGACTCATTTTGTCATAGTATTAACATTTCTCCTTCACTCGCTTGATCTTTGTTAAATCTCTATCCTGAAAACAACAGCTGTGCTTACTTGGCAGTATCTTCACTGTTTCAGGCAATACTTTACTTACTTAGGCGATCCCTCGTTGGACAAGTAAGATGGTCTCCATTATGGATTTCCTTGTGGGTCCGTATGTGGCTGTGGAGCCCTATTCTTGCTCTGCATCTTCTTCCGCAGTGAGGGCATTGGTTTCCAGGTGGAAGGCGGTCCCGGTCGGGGTTGGCTTGACGCGCCTTCCTCCTGGCACGTTTCTCTCTTTCACCCTCCACTCGTGCCTCTTCAAATTCTGCAGCACTGCTGGTCACAGCTGTCCTCCAGCTGGAGCGCTCAAGGGCCAGGGCTTCCCAGTTCTCAGTGTCTATGCCAGAGTTTTTAAGGTTGGCTTTGAGCCCATCTTTAAATCTCTTTTCCTGTCCACCAACGTTCCGTTTTCCGTTCTTAAGTTCGGAGTAGAGCAACTGCTTTGGGAGACGGTGAGGCATCCGGACAACGTGGCCGGCCCAGCGGAGTTGATGTTGGAGGACCATCGCTTCAATGCTGGTGGTCTTTGCTTCTTCCAGCACACTGACGTTTGTCCGCTTGTCTTCCCAGGAGATTTGCAGGATTTTCCGGAGGCAGCGCTGATGGAAACGTTCCAGGAGTTGCATGTGACGTCTGTAGACAGTCCACGTCTCACAGGCATATAGCAGGGTTGGGAGGACAATAGCTTTATAAACAAGCACCTTGGTATCCCTACGGATGTC